AAAGTTCAACGTCATGGTAGCTTGTTTTCAGATAGCATCCGAGCTGTCTTTTGTGGTCCCTCAAATTGTGGTAAAACAAACGCTCTTCTCTCTTTAATCATACATCCAAATGGTTTAAGTTTTGAAAATATTTACCTATACTCTAAATCTCTGCAGCAGCCAAAATATCAATTTTTGAAAAATGTAATTCATGGCGTGGATGGAATTGAATACTTTCCATTTAGTGAGCATGAAGAAGTAGTATCTCCAAAAGATGCTAAACCGAACTCAATATTCATCTTTGATGATATTGCTTGTGAAAAGCAAGACAATGTTAGAGCTTTCTTTTGTATGGGTAGACATGTAAATGTTGACAGTTTCTACTTGTGTCAAACGTATGCTCGTATTCCAAAACATCTAGTCCGAGATAATGTAAATTTACTGGTGCTTTTTAGACAAGATGAAAAAAATTTAAAACATGTCTACGAAGATCATGTAAATACAGACATGTCTTATACTCAATTTCGTGATTTATGTTCAGAATGTTGGAAATCTGATAAATATGGATTTGTCGTTATTGATAAAGATAGGAATTTTAATGAGGGAAGATATAGAAAAGGATTTGATTGCTTTATTACACTATAAATATAACTACTTTATTTCATTTTAAATTAGTATAGTTTATGTTATCAAGACGGAAACATGTATCGAAAAGAGCAAGAAACACTTCGTCAAATAGCAAAAGCAAGCGACGCTATTAGACGAAAACATCGCTTGCTTAGAATGGGTAAAGAGGCTGCAGAGACATTGTTAAAAGAAACTCTGCAACCAATAGTTACACCTCTTCAAAAGTTGGCAAATGTAACTGAAACTCCTTTCAAAAATGTTAAAATTGAAAAATTCAAGAAAGATGATAATTTATTTATTTATTTATTTAAAGTTATACACGGGCATGAGAAGCCCTATACATGAAAATGCAAAAATATAAATGTATATACATAATTGGACCAAAGGCGTCCAAAATCAAAAACAAAAGAAAAACTTTTAAGCAATGAACGACCTGGTATTATTAGAACGATTTTTAAAAAGAGTTGTGCGCAAGGATGTAATAAATCCTCTCAAACTAACGCCAAAGAGATCAAGATTCTCGCTATACAGATTGGCTTCGCGACATAGTCGATTAATGACAGAGTTTTTACCATAATTAGTTCTATGATGTTGAATATAAAATAAAGAGGAATTTCTTAATTGTCTAGTTGGCGAACAGAAATTTATCATTGACAGTATCGCCGGACAATTTGTGACACCATTGATAATTTTAAACAAAAAAAGTAAGTCGTTATAACAAAATCTGGTCTCAATTTTAGGAATATTAAATCGCGAACGTAATTCATCATAATTATGAGAGAAAAAATCATAACCAACACCGAGTTGTCTGGCCAAGAAGCGCAAGAAACGATTCTGTACCCTTTCCAATCTAATGATGTGAACAAAGTAGTAGGGAAACCAAATAACGGAGGCAAATTCAAGGATAGATTTTACAAATGAAAAGTAAAGTATTTTTAAGGAAATTAAACTTTTAAAATCAGAAGCACTCCGCATAATAAAACCCAAAGACCTTAGAGCCTTATTCACTGTAAAAGATACATGTTCAGAGAAAGATAAATTGTCACTCAAGATGACCCCCAGATCCCGCACCTGGGTTACACGGTTTAAAGAAGAATCTCCTAATTTATAATTATGATTAAAAACAATTTTTTTTCTCGAGAAGGAGATAGTTAAGCATTTCTTTATATTCAGGAAGAATTTGTTACGATGACACCATTCTTGCAGTCGATCTAAGTCAGATTGAAAATTATTAAAATCAGAGTTAGAATTAATAGTCATGTATAGCTTAAGATCGTCTGCAAAGAGCAAAAAAGAACAAAATTTAAAAATTAATTTAATGTCGTTAATAAATAGTAAGAATAAAAGGGGACCCAAGTGCGAACCCTGGGGGACACCGGAAGTAGAAGTAAATGTTCGCGAATATTTACCATCTACACGGACATATTGACCTCTATTAGTTAGATAACTTTTTATCCATGATAATGCACAAATGCCGAAACCCATTAATTTTAATTTTTCAAGAAGGATTGAATGACTAATTTTATCAAAAGCTTTAGAAAAATCCGTGTAGATGGCATCAACCTGGCGACCACCCTCAACATTTGAGAACAAATCTTCAAGAAAAATACAAAGATTAGTAGAAGTTGATCTACCCTTGACGAAGCCGTGCTGCTGATAATGATTTCTCTTTTTCAACTGCTGTTGACGATGATGAAGAATTTGATAAAATTCTACTAAATTCAACTTTACTTGATAAGAGCAATAACTTTGAAAAAGAAGAACAAGAAGATTATGAGAAAATTACAAATAAATATATTTTTATGTTAGATAAAAATAGAAAACTGTTTTTAGATATGGTTTATGGAGTACGTAAACTTGCCAACGGATCTTTTATGATTGGTGATACACCTATTGAATTTGAAGGTTCACATATTAAGCTTATTGGAAAGAAAAATTATTTAAAAACTGCTGGGTTACTTGAACTTTTATTTAAGCAGAAACCAAAAGAAGCTTTAATAAGTTCAGATGATTTTTCAAATTATAAAGAAATTCTCATTGCTACGAATGCACATCGAAAAAATTATAGTCCAAGTAAATCTGTCAACATAAGTAGAACTTCCAAGTACACTGATGTTATTGCAAAACTTATCAAAAGTACACCAAAGAAGAGTGGTGGTGGTGGTGGTTCTTTAAAGAAGCATAAAAATATATTACCACAATTTATAATTGCAAAAAAACAATTTAATCCAGACTACATCTATTGGGATGATCCAAATGAACTCGTTGACCGTTTACGACTACTTATAGGATCACAGCAAGCTGGTAATCCAAGTCATAATAATGAGATTATGTCAATTATCGAAGAACTTCGTGAAGCTCGAATTATATATTAAGAGAGAGCATATAGAATAATTGCTTAGTATTACAATGAGCATTGATGTGTTCGGACATTCTTTAACACGACCTGTTGCAAGTCGTGGACTACCTGGACCTTCTGGTATTGGATTTAAAGTTACTCCAAGTGGAGATTACAATATTGAAGGCAAAAGACTTTGTAACGTTCAAGACGCTGAAGAGCTGCATGATGCAGTAAATTTACGACTTGTACAACAAATTATCCGAAACGAGATAAAAACTATCTTTCAAATTACATCTTCTTTAAGATCAGCCATTGATGATTTGAATATTTTAATACAAGTTGTTGAAGATAGAGTTAACGAAAAACTAAAACAAATTGAATTACAACAGAATATTATTATCAAGGAAACTACATTTATTCCAAATGATGAATGATAAAAAGTTAACAGTTGTAACTGAACTACATAAACAAGCGAGAAGGAATTATCCTCGTCGTAAAGTTCAAATGCGTGGCATAGATGAAACCTGGCAAGCAGATTTGGTAGAAATGATACCTTACTCCTATTCCAATAAAGGTTTCAAATACATGCTCACAGTAATAGACATATTTTCCAAATATGCCTGGGCTGTACCTGTAAAAAGTAAAAATGGAAAAGATATTTCTTCAGCCATGAAATTAATATTAAAAGAAGGTCGTATTCCAAAAAATTTACACACTGATAGAGGCAAGGAATTTTATAACTCTGAATTTCAGAGTTTAATGCCAGAATTCAATATTAATCTCTATTCGACTTATAGTAATTTAAAAGCATCAATTGTTGAAAGGTTTAACCGCACTCTAAAAAATATGATGTGGCCTGAATTCAACTTACAAGGCAATTACAAATGGATTAATCTTTTACCAATTCTCATATCAAAGTACAATAATAAAAAACATCGTACGATTGGTATGAAACCTAAAGATGTCACTGTAGAAGATACAAGAGAACTGATGAGACGTATCCGTAAACTAAGAAAAATTCCACTGAGAAGACAAAAATTTAAAGTTGGAGATAGAGTTCGAGTCAGCAAACATAAAAACATGTTTGAAAAAGGATACACCCCCAACTGGACAACGGAAATATTCACTGTAGATCAAGTTAAACGAACAAAACCAGTTACATACAAACTTACAGATTATGAAAATCACCCAATCGAAGGTGGTTTCTATGAAGAAGAACTATTAAAAGTGAAATATCCAGATGTTTACCTCGTCGAGAAAGTCCTTAAAAGCCGTGGCAATAATGTATATGTAAAATGGCTTGGATTTGACAACTCACACAATAGTTGGATAAAAAAATCTGATATGTAATATATATAAAAATAGTTAAAATAAAGTTCAAAATAGGTAAAATAAAGTTAAATATAGTTAAAAAAAAGTTAAAAATAGTTAAAAATAGTTAAAAATAGTTAAAAAAAGTTAAACATAGTTAAAAAAATTTAAAAATAGTTAAAATAAAGTTAAAAATAGTTAAAGAAAAGTTAAAAATAGTTAAAGATAAGTTAAAAATAGTTAAAATAAAGTTAAATATAGTTAATAATAGTTAAAATAAAGTTAAAAATAGTTAAAATAAAGTTAAAAATAGTTAAAAATAGTTAAAATAAAGTTAAATATAGTTAAAAATAGTTAAAAATAGTTAAAATAATGTTAAATATAGTTAAAAATAGTTAAAGATAAGTTAAAAATAGTTAAAATAAAGTTAAAAATAGTTAAAATAAAGTTTAAAAAAAGTTAAAAATAGTTAAAGATAACTTAAAAATAGTTAAAGATAGTTAATAATATTTAAAATAAAGTTAAATATAGTTAAAAATAGTTAAAATAATGTTAAATATAGTTAAAAATAGTTAAAATAAAGTTAAAAAAAAGTTAAAAATAGTTAAAGATAAGTTAAAAATAGTTAAAGATAAGTTAAAAATGTTACTAGATTAAGGTTCTAATAAATAAACATAATATAAAATGTACAGTATCTTTTATTAAAACACCTTTATCTCCCCAAATCATCATCATCATTTATTTACAATTCCATAGCTTCATCATTAATTTGTCTAATTTTATAATGTCCCCATGCTAGGGTATCGGTACTATTGGATAACAGAAATCTTTTATCGTCGTAAGGACTTAAAGCTATTTTTGTTTGTTTTAATGTTTGAACATTGTGAAGTTTCGATCTGATACAATATTGAATTCGCGATTGCATTTTAATATTTCGTAAACAATATGTGTAGTCATCAAAGGTAATAGTTTTCTTTACAACTGCGGATTTCACACCTTTTGCTTTTTTAATAAAATCTTGATCTTCCACTCGCACACTGTACATTTTACTCCGCAAGCCAACAAATTCAGTAACAATTTTTCCACAGCATTCATCCTTCATCAGACCTAAAACTTTTTTGTTGGCTTGCGGAATACCGTAAATATTATTTGCTGGATAATCGGAAGTATCAAATTTGTGGATATCGACATTCATATCTGCATAAATATCAGGACATTTAATTTCGTAAATCAGGCTGTCAGTGTCGGTGTACAATAGTTTTAAATTCTTTACATCATACTTTTTCAACATATAATCATAATGGAAATCGTAGATTAACGTTTTCGAAACATCCAACATAGACAGACCAATATAAAGTGGTTTGTTCATTAGAACCTCCATTTTTCTAAGTTCCACAGCCACCAAGTTTTCATTAAAGATGGTTCTGCTGTGGAAGTTAGGTTTGGAGATGAGGGCTTCAGCTCCATATCTACCCTCCCACTTTGTCACAAGTTTAATGTCAACATGTTTTCGCACGTTCTCCATTGTTTTGCCAAATACTGCGTTGTTCATTAATTTGAACAAGTTTTTCTCAAATTCATTACTGGCATTTGTTCTCCGCATGGTATTAAAGTCTATGTAACTTTTCAACCATGTGGATTGTTCGAATTTTAGTACACGATGGATTTTAACTAATATAAGACCGTTGGCAATAGCTTGTTTTAAGGCACGATAATGGAGAACGTGCTTTCTTTTAGGTAGGAGGGTAGTTAGGAGCTTCTGCTCTTTTGACCCTGGTGGCTTCGAGCGTTCTGGACAAAATGGAAAATCGCTATGTTTATCATGAAGATGATCTGGATAATCCAAATCAACTTCCAAGATATAACCAATTGGACCATCATCAGGAACATTAAAGTCAAAATCATTATTTACATTTTCTTCCCACTTGAAACCACCATAGGGCAGCGACTGAACCATAGCCCAGCCATACAAATTGTTTGCGTCAAAGTACACGATGTAAGATGTCTCCTCACTTTCATTGAAATTCTCCATGTAAGGATTGTTAGCTTTCGCGTACCGATTTGTGCACTGACTAATCCCACCTCTTATCCCACGTTCGATAAACATGACCATATCAATGTCTGTGAGGAGTTCCAAACTTATATTCGTGTACTTTAACATGGCATCCCATGTCAGTCCAGGTGTTGTATAGTAATGTGCTGCATCAAGGCCATATGCTAATAAACACTCATTTCTAAAATTTTCAAAGATATCCGCGAGTAACAATATATCGGTTTGCATGTACAAATACACATAATCACCTAAATTTTTACAATTAAATTCACTCCATACTTTCTGCGCATGTGCATAATCTTCATCTGAAACATTCGAATCGTTTAGAGTGCTGTAAAATTTTTCTTTCGGCGGTAACTGAGTTTCATCGAGTTTTTCCCTTGAATCAATGTACTCATAGGGAAAAACTCCTTTTCGCGTTAACAATTTAACTTTGTCATCACTGTAATTGGAAAATACGGAATTTACAATTTTGTATTCGTCAAGATAGGATGCTAACTTGTCCAATGATGATGCCATAAACTTGAAAGAATCAATAAAACGAAATTTTAGATAACTACCTTTAACATTTTTAGTAAAGCTAATATACTTTTCTTTATTTATGGGAAGCAGATTAACATTACCTTCAAATTCGGTAGCAATTGCATCAATAATAAAATGAGCATCATAACCACTGAGGTTATGAAAAACGACAGGTATGATTTGCGATTCATGGTAATTAATGTTACAATCTTGGTGTGCGGGTCCACGAAACTTCCCTGTTAGATGACAGTGATCTCTTACTTTTACTTCCCCATGCGCAATTTTCTTTTTACAAATATGACATGTATTATCATTTCTAAAGGCTGCCATTTGCTGTGGACTTAATGTTTCCATAGGAACTGGATTTTTAAATCTGGAATCTAAATCATCAGCCAAGTTCTTTAATTCTTTAGAGAACCATTTAGCTGGATTTTCATCATCTCTGGGTGATGCTTTGTACACAGACAAAGAGTCATCGAAACTACATTTTAAATAGTAGCCAATACTAAGTGTTTTATGATTTTGGAAGACTTCAGTATTGGTTTCTTCTTGGGGTACTGCTGAAGGAATTAAAAGACTTTCACAATCAGCATAAATAATAAAGGGCACACGCTCCTTATTTTGAAAATTTTTAAACTCAACTGTATTTTGACCTTTTTTGGGTAATTTGATTCTTGTGTTGTTCATTTTTCTACAATTCTCCTCATGTTCAGTAAGCTTTTCTTGATCAAGGAAATAATGTAAGCAGCGATCACAAATGTATTTCTTATTCTTCTGCCTTGATAAGTCTGAACTGACAAGTCTAGATAAATCCTTTATCCAGACGTAATGATAGTTAAAAGAGATGAGAGGTATTTCATTTTCATCATCATCATCTTCACTTAGATTTTCATCTATATAATGATCTTCAATTCGAAGAAGATTGACGTGATTTATCTTCTTTTGAGATGAAAGATGAAGAGGTGAAACTGTAAACTTTTCATCTCTTTTAACAAGACCATACAAGTTGACGGAAATATTGTTCAAAGCTTCGAATTTAAAAATATCATTAAGGGAGACAGGGAACTTAATTCCAGTAAAATTCAATTCACCTTCATAAGACTTGTACTTTGAAACTCGTTCAGCGTTCTTTTCAACTGGGTGCAAAGAAGATAATATTGCCCATTTGAAACACTGATTATCAAAATTTTTAACATTAATGCAAGCATGTTTTCGATTGATAGCAGATGGCAAATTGATATAAGAACTTGCACGCATAGGGTTGTACTTGTTAATGTTAACCTCCAACCTTTCAATAGAATTAAGTTTCCAATTAGATTCTTTCTGTTGGAATTCTTCAATTCTTTTTAAGGTAACTTGTTTAATATTAACATTGTACCACTCATCTAACGGGGTTGTCGATAAAATTGCTTCTGTTTTCGCAATAAAAGTTTTCAATTCAGACTTTTCTATACCGTTGACTGAATCTTTAATAAACTTCGCGCCCAATACAGTATAAACTTTTATCGGACCATACCTATTTAAAGCTTTTTGAATATTCACTTGAAATAAACTAAAGGCATCGTCAAGGAATTCATTAATATCCATGTAATCTAAATTCATTACAGCACTAGTTTGTAATCTACCGTCAAACGCTTCATCAAAATCCACCCATGTCATTCTCTCATTCGCTACTTGCACACCCGCACCGCGTTTCATTACAGCATCAAAATGGCAACGCAAGTATTCCAATTTCTGGCTTAAATTTAAACATCTAGATCTTTGAGAAGAAGAGAAATCTGACCTATGCAAAAATTTTCTAAAAATATTCTTATATCTTTGACACTTGTTTTGCCATTCGAATGCAGTAATGCATTTTTCATCGCCAGTCATCGACATTGTAGCGATGAGCTGACGTTCTGCGATTTTAATAAAGTTGTCAGATTCCTGACATACTTCATTGTACTCGTCAGTGTCAATACGTTGACGAGACTTCATCGGAGATTTGCACTTTGGCATCTTAGAAGCTAAATCTAAAAACCTGAAAATAAGCTGAAAAAAGTACACTTAAAAATAAGAAACAACCTTAAAAAACAACAACAAAAATCCTGAAATAAAAAACCCTGAAATAGAAAAAAACCACCACCAACTTAAACCTAAAACAAAATAGAACAAAAAATCTGAAAAAACCACCACCAACTTAAACCTAATAAAAAAAATAGAACACAAAAAAATAAACAAACACCTATAATAAAGAAAAAAAATTATATCCAAAAACGAAATAAAAACTAAAAAACCCTGAAAATAAATATCCACCACCTTAAATAAAATACAAAATAGTAAAGCAAAAAGAAATAACTGAAATAAGAAAAAAATCTGAAATTCTGAAAACTCTATAACTATTCTGCTGCACCTGAAAGAAAAGAATGATGCTGGTGGCCTGAGCGGCATGCTTTATACACTACGCCCCACCATGGCGGTCCCCACTACGGCGCTCCCCACTATGGCGCGCCCCACCACCTAGCTGGCGCGCGCAATCAGGCGGGCCCACCGCTGCGCGCTACGCTGTAGGCATGGGAGGGAGTCCCCGGCTGAGTTCACATCGATGCGGGGAGAAATGAAACTCAGCATATGAACACGGAGCTGGCAGCGGCATAGACGCAACCAGCAATGGGGCTCCCTCTCAAAGTTTTTTCCATACAGGTTTAGATATAATTATATACATTGAAATTTTAAACTTTAAATTAACTTTAAAATAGGTAAAATAAACTGGCGCCATCTTGCTGTGGCAGCTGGAACTAACTCGGTCGGTAATTTAAGCGTGAAATTTAAAAACCCTCACTTTAAATTAATAGAAAAAAATAATTTTAAATTTAGCGTATAAATAAAATAGCGCCATCTTGCGGTGGTAGCCAAAACTAACGCGGTCGGTAATGTAGAACACCAAGCCACTTGAACATAAAATTTTAAAAATTCAAATTTCCCGCCAAGGGGGTTTGAATTGGCCGGTAATCGAAAGTGGCGCCATCTAGCGGTGGCAGCCCGAACTAAACTCGGTCGGTAATGTAGAACACCAAGCCACTTTAAATTAAACTTTTAAAAATTCAAATTTCCCGCCAAGGGGGGTTGAATTGGCCGTTAAAATGCCAAGCCACTTTTAAAAATTCAAATTTCCCGCCAAGGGGGTTTGAATTGGCCGGTAAAATGCCAAGCCACTTTCAAAAATTCAAATTTCCCGCCAAGGGGGTTTGAATTGACCGGTGGCGCCATCTAGCGGTGGCAGCCGGAACTAACTCGGTCGGTAAAGTAGAACACCAAGCCACTTTGAATTGGGCTTGTTACCGACCTCGGTCGGTAAGTGAGCCAGAACCCGTGTAGATCAACTACTCTATTGCGACCTCTCTTGAACCAAGAAGAAAGTTAAATAAGAAGACCAGGAAGAAGTTAAATTTTCTGGCCATTAAAGTTTAAATATTAAATAAATCTAAACTATAAGCATACTTTGGCGAACTATAGCGACCTCTCTTGAACCAAGAAGAAGACCAAGAAGAAGTTACATTTTCTGGCCATTAATGTTAAAAAATTAAATAAATATAAACTATGAGCAAACTATGGCGAACTATAGCAATCTCTCTTGAACTTTGGGCCAAAAAGAAATTAAATTTTCTGGCCATTTCAGTTTTAAAATTAAATAAATCTAAACTGTGGAGAACTATGGCAACCTCTCTTGAACTATGGGCCAAGAAGAAGTTAAATTTTTTGTCCATTTCAGTTTTAAAATTAAATAATTCTAAACTATGGAGAACTATGGCGACCTCTCTTGAACAAAGAAAAAAGATAAAGTAGAAGACCAAGAAGAAGTTAAATTTTCTGGCCATTTCAGTTTTAAAATTAAATAAATATAAACTATGAGCAAACTATGGCGAACTATGGCGACCTCTCTTGAACTATAGGCCAAGAAGAAGTTAAATTTTCTAGCCATTTCAGATTTAAAATTAAATAAATATAAACTATGGGTAAACTATGGCGAACTATGGCGACCTCTCTTGAACCAAGAAGAAAGTTAAAGAAGAAGACCAAGAAAAAGTTAAATTTTCTGACCATTTCAGTTTTAAAAATAAATAAATATAAACTATGGGCAAACTATTGCGACCTCTCTTGAACCAAGAAGAAAGTTAAATAAGAAGACAAAGAAGAAGTTAAATTTTCTGGCCATAAAGTTTAAAAATTAAATAAATCTAAACTATGGTCAAACTATGGCGACCTCTCTTGAACTTTAGGACAAGAAGAAGTTAAATTTTCTAGCCATTTCAGTTTTAAAATTAAATAAATATAAACTATGGGTAAACTATGGCGAACTATGGCGACCTCTCTTGAACCAAGAAGAAAGTTAAAGAAGAAGACCAAGAAAAAGTTAAATTTTCTGACCATTTCAGTTTTAAAATTAAATAAATATAAACTATGGGCAAACTATTGCGACCTCTCTTTAACCAAGAAGAAAGTTAAATAAGAAGACAAAGAAGAAGTTAAATTTTCTGGCCATTAAAGTTTAAATATTATATAAATCTAAACTATAAGCATACTTTGGCGAACTATAGCGACCTCTCTTGAACTGCGGGAAGAGTCAAATCAAATTTTCTAGCCATTTATATTTGAAAATTAAATAACTCTAAACTATGGCGACCTCTCTTGAACCAAGAAGAAGACCAAGAAGAATTTAAATTTTCTGGCCATTAAAGTTTAAAAATTAAATAAATCTAAACTATGGTCAAACTATGGCGACCTCTCTTGAACTATAGGCCAAGAAGAAGTTGAATTTTCTGGCCATTTCAGTTTTAAAATTAAATAAATCTAAACTATGGGCAAACTATTGCGACCTCTCTTGAACCAAGAAGAAAGTTAAATAAGAAGACCGAGAAGAAATTAAATTTTCTGGCCATTAAAGTTTAAATATTAAATAAATCTAAACTATAAGCATACTTTGGCGAACTATAGCGACCTCTCTTGAACCAAGAAGAAGACCAAGAAGAAGTTAAATTTTCTGGCCATTAATGTTTAAAAATTAAATAAATCTAAACTATGGTCAAACTATGGCGACCTCTCTTGAACTATGGGCCAAGAAGAAATTAAATTTTCTGGCCATTTCAGTTTTAAAATTAAATAATTCTAAACTATGGAGAACTATGGCGACCTCTCTTGAACAAAGAAAAAAGATAAAGAAGAAGACCAAGAAGAAGTTAAATTTTCTGGCCATTTCAGTTTTAAAATTAAATAAATATAAACTATGAGCAAACTATGGCGAACTATGGCGACCTCTCTTGAACTATAGGCCAAGAAGAAGTTAAATTTTCTAGCCATTTCAGATTTAAAATTAAATAAATATAAACTATGGGTAAACTATGGCGAACTATGGCGACCTCTCTTGAACCAAGAAGAAAGTTAAAGAAGAAGACCAAGAAAAAGTTAAATTTTCTGACCATTTCAGTTTTAAAATTAAATAAATATAAACTATGGGCAAACTATTGCGACCTCTCTTGAACCAAGAAGAAAGTTAAATAAGAAGACAAAGAAGAAGTTAAATTTTCTGGCCATAAAGTTTAAAAATTAAATAAATCTAAACTATGGTCAAACTATGGCGACCTCTCTTGCACTTTAGGCCAAGAAGAAGTTAAATTTTCTAGCCATTTCAGTTTTAAAATTAAATAAATATAAACTATGGGTAAACTATGGCGAACTATGGCGACCTCTCTTGAACCAAGAAGAAAGTTAAAGAAGAAGACCAAGAAAAAGTTAAATTTTCTGACCATTTCAGTTTTAAAATTAAATAAATATAAACTATGGGCAAACTATTGCGACCTCTCTTTAACCAAGAAGAAAGTTAAATAAGAAGACAAAGAAGAAGTTAAATTTTCTGGCCATTAAAGTTTAAATATTATATAAATCTAAACTATAAGCATACTTTGGCGAACTATAGCGACCTCTCTTGAACTGCGGGAAGAGTCAAATCAAATTTTCTAGCCATTTATATTTGAAAATTAAATAACTCTAAACTATGGCGACCTCTCAAGAACCAAGAAGAAGACCAAGAAGAATTTAAATTTTCTGTCCATTAAAGTTTAAACATTAAATAAATCTAAACTATGGTCAAACTATGGCGACCTCTCTTGAACCAAGAAGAAGACCAAGAAGAATTTAAATTTTCTGGCCATTAAAGTTTAAAAATTAAATAAATCTAAACTATGGTCAAACTATGGCGACCTCTCTTGAACTATAGGCCAAGAAGAAGTTAAATTTTCTGGCCATTTCAGTTTTAAAATTAAATAAATCTAAACTATGGGCAAACTATTGCGACCTCTCTTGAACCAAGAAGAAAGTTAAATAAGAAGACCAAGAAGAAGTTAAATTTTCTGGCCATTAAAGTTTAAATATTAAATAAATCTAAACTATAAGCATACTTTGGCGAACTATAGCGACCTCTCTTGAACCAAGAAGAAGACCAAGAAGAAGTTAAATTTTCTGGCCATTAATGTTTAAAAATTAAATAAATCTAAACTATGGTCAAACTATGGCGACCTCTCTTGAACTTTAGGCCAAGAAGAAGTTAAATTTTCTAGCCATTTCAGTTTTAAAATTAAATAAATATAAACTATGGGTAAACTATGGCGAACTATGGCGACCTCTCTTGAACCAAGAAGAAAGTTAAAGAAGAAGACCAAGAAAAAGTTAAATTTTCTGACCATTTCAGTTTTAAAATTATATAAATATAAACTATGGGCAAACTATTGCGACCTCTCTTTAACCAAGAAGAAAGTTAAATAAGAAGACAAAGAAGAAGTTAAATTTTCTGGCCATTAAAGTTTAAATATTAAATAAATCTAAACTATAAGCATACTTTGGCGAACTATAGCGACCTCTCTTGAACCAAGAAGAAGACCAAGAAGAAGTTAAATTTTCTGGCCATTAATGTTTAAAAATTAAATAAATCTAAACTATGGTCAAACTATGGCGACCTCTCTTGA